ACCAGCGCACACACTCTCTTTGCTCCCGTAAAGCAAAACACACACAGAAGGAGAGAGAGAGAGGTCGCCCACTCAATGCAATAAAAACAGAAACAGAAACAGCTACGGTGCTCCGCCCATGCAGCCAGGCAGGACGGCAGCGGTGCGTGTGGTGCAAAAGAGAGCACCAACGGGCCTGCATGGGTGTGCATGCATATATACAGTGGGCACATTATGTGTGTGCCTCGTGGGGTGAGGTGGGGGCGAGAGTCCATGCAAGGGGACACACACACAGAGAGAGAAGGACGAGTGTGTGTGCGGGCGGTGCACGGCTCTCTCTCCCTCACTCTCACGCGGCCACCACCGCCGCAGCAGCCGCACACGCAACAACAGGAAGAAGCAAAAGAGGGGAGGTGGTGTGGGAGACCGCGGTGCTGCCGTCACTGTCGCCATGCGTCGTCGTATCATTTGTTTGAGCAGTGGTGATTGTTTCTGGCATTTGTGACGCTGTCCCACTGAGTGTTGAAACAACGTTGTTATTGCCAGTTTTAAGGCTGTCGTGTTGTTCTTCAGAGCTTTGAGTATCATCCTCATCTGCCTTATTCTGTACATGATCACCGCTGCCACTCGCAGAGGTAGATGAGGTCGTTGGTTCAACTGGACTGCCGGCTGCTGCATTCTTCGTCGAATTCTCTGTGTCTGTGTCATGACTGTGCTTCTCTTGTGTCGCGTCCCCTGAAGGCTGTTCCGGTGCTTTTGATTCCATTTTGGGTCCTGACGGCGTGGCTTCGTTCGTTACTTTGGTTATGTTCTGTAAGTTTTCTTTTTATGTTGTTGGGCCTCCCGATGGTATTGGTGGTGGCGGTAGTTGGGATGGTCCCTCATTATTTTTGCCCTCTTGTGCCTGTGTTGGTCCTTTAATTTTTTCTTTTTTTACTTTTGCCGTTTCTTCCTCATTATCATCACTACCATCATCATCATCTTCATCATCATGAACCTCTTCCTTTAGAGATGGGGAAGATTCTCGTGACAATTTTACGTTAACATCTGTTGCTTCACCTCTTAAGCCTTGCGTGCCTTCTGGAGACTTTTCAATTTTTTGTGGTTCCGGCGGAGTTCCATCGCCTATCCCAGAAACATCACCGGCCGCCTCCACCGCAGCACCGCACCACAGCACGCAGAGGGCACACACCAGCAGCACACGGCCAGTCATCATCATCGCCATCACTCCCGTCACTTGCGTGTAGCCTTCAGCACAAACTAACACCCCGTCAACGCAGAGTGAAGGCAAAAAGAAAATGAAATTCACCCAGCCACGCCACAGCAACAAGAGGCAGCACCCCACACCACGAGGCAGTTGGAATCAATGCGATTGCAGAACTTACGCACCGCCCTGCAAACCAGAAGCTTTAGAAAAAAAAAAAAACAGAGTTGAGGGTCCGGCAGGACTCCCGGAATAAATAAATAAAATTCATTCGGCAGGACCTTCATTTCACATGTTAAGAAGCACAACATAGAGGACAGTATGTTTAAGTATATATGTAGATAATGCTCGCGGTAAGAAAAAAAAAGACAAATAAAAAAATCGTCCTATTCCATAAGCCCACACAACATCCTCACACTTCATTGCGGCATCCGGTCTCTCCTTCCAATCCTCCTTTCGTGCAGTCCGTGAGACGCACAGCAGTGACGCCGGCACTGCGTGTGGGCAACAAAAAAGAAACACACAAGAGAGGGAAACACTTCGCCCATTCCGGTGTACTTCAACCGAACATTAAAGAGAAGAAAAAAGGGTACTTATTACTCCAGAGGAAAAATATTCAAAAAGAGCATTACAAAGAAAAAAAAGGGAAAAACAGTAATAGAGAAGGAAAAAGGGTTTAAAAAGCGAGCAGTAAAAAAACAAAAAAGAAGAGAAAAAACAGTGACATAAAAACCGCAAAGTATGCGGCAAATATCCCCCGTGGGGAGTCACAATTCCACCCTCTTTCGCTCGAAAGACTACCACAACTCCACACAGTTCCAGCAGCAACACCAAAGACACGCACACACGCGCAGTGCGGTCGCCAGTTGAATCGCGTAGCGTCAACTTAAACGTCGTCAAACAGAGCGAGGCAGCCGTCTGGACTCACGCCGCTCCAGATCGTGCAACGTCACATTTCTTGATGCGTTTTTTGTGTTCCGGGGACGTTGTGACCATTCATTCCTCCCGCAATTTTCCCAGAAAAGTGCTCGCCGCTGCCGTCATCGGCTTCACTCTTACGGGTATCCTTCGAGCCCACTGTCATCCTCAACGCGGTGGCGGGCGCAGTATTCGTCTCAAATGCATTCGGATCCATTTCTATGTTCCAACTCATGGCAATGCTAGGCTTCCACTTGGGTGGTGTTGGAGCCACGTTTTCTTTCGGATCGGTGGCAAACTCAGGCCTCGTCTCGGACGTGTTGGTCGCCGTGTTGGATGCGGGACTCGGATCGACGGTGTTGGGTGCGTCAGCCGCCGCAGACTGTCGCCAATCCTCGTGTTGACGTGACGGCTCAGCAATAACTTGCGGCGCAGTTGTCCCACCAGATTTCGTGTCATCTTTCCCTTCACGGGGTGGCGGCAACTGACAGATGCCGTCCGGTCAGCATCGCTGCTACGTGCAGGCGGATGGATGGTTCCATCGGGGGAAATTGACGCCACCACAATTCGTAAGGGCCGGCGTATTTATGTGTCGTCACATTCATCGTAAAGGCAACGGTGGCCCCTTCCTCCTTCCTTGCACAGCTGGCAGAACAGTTGCTAAATGTGTGCACCGCATTGGCCACATGGCACACAGCACACAGCTCACCATTCCTGCCATGCATGCGCACATCAAAGCCACTGAAAGTGTAATTCTCATGTTGAGCCTCAGCACCGGCAGCAGAGCATCTCTTCCACGCCCACATGCACACCCACGCACGCGATAGCTCAGGCTGCCGTCACTCGGAGCACACGACACATCCACCGGCACAACCACCGCATCCGCATCACCAGATACATCTCCAGGACTCCCAGCAGCCGTCACGCACACGGAGCGAGCAGCAGCGGCACAAGAGCGCAAAGACCAGCACGGCGCCGCACCGTCATCATCGCAGTCATCGTCACGCGTCGTGGAGTCGCTGGAGTCAGTCAGCTGATCGGTGGTGCAGAAGGAAAACAATGCAACAAGAGAGAGAGAGACAGAGCACAGCGGATACAGCGAGAGAGAGAAGAAAAAACGAGGAGAGGGCAGCAGGCCCAGCCGCACAGTTCACGCACCACGAGACGGCATCCACGCAAGGAAGGCACACTACGCCAGCAGCCACCCACCATGCAGGAGGAGAAGACATCCACCACCATCTCCATCCAGCTCATTTCCACAGCCCCAGGGAAATGGCCACAGCCCGCAGCCACCACACAACGCAAACGGAGCGAGCCCAAACACAACGCAGTCACACGCGGTGCATCACACCCGCAGGAAGAGTGACTCGCGGTGCGCACTCCCTCTCCCCCATTCTCCTCATGGCCACGGAAGAAGACAACAGCCGCCACACGCAACTGCCAGCATGCACTGCAAAAGAAGCAATCAAATCCACTGCAATGTGCATCTTGTGTGTGTGTCTGCAGAAACACAAAGCAAAGAAGTAGAGAAATGGAAGCAGAGTGTGTGGAGAGACGCACAAAACGTACAGCGGAGGTGCGTGGCGGAAAGAACAAGAAGAAGACCGCTCAAACTCACGATTGCACCGCAGCCCAAGCAGCGGCAATTCACACAGAATTTATCCAAAACAAAAAAAGCTTTCCCTTTCATCTTACACAAACCCCATCACACAAAATAATTATAAATAAAAAAGAAATCGTCCATTACTGTTCCACACAAATTTAAAAAAGCTGCCGGCTGCCGTGTGGCCACACCAAACTGTCTGTATATTTTGCCCGCAAATAAAATTAAAAGATATTTAAATGTCTTTCAGCCGTCCGACCCTCTGTGTGTCCGCACATCGTTTATATTTCACGGGGTCTTCTGCGTGTTGCTGCTCCCCTCAGCCCTCCCATCGGCGCGTGAGTGCGGCCCGCAGAGCACAGTCACTCGTGCGTGGGGACTGAGAGAAGCACGCAGACATGAAGGGAGTCGCGTCACTCCATCGGGAGAGTGAGCGCAGCAAAAAACAAAAGAAAAAGAAAAAACACGGCGGCAGGTTGTGGCTGTGTGTGTGGCGCTGCGGGTGTCTGCCCGCCCTGGCCGCAAAGAAAAAAAACAAGAGGGAAAGAAATGTGTGCTCCGCCCCACAGGCCCTCGTCGCACGCCCACACGTCACGGCTCCCTCAGCGCGCCGTTCGTCGCGGCCCTCCTCATGCGTGCAGCAGGCGAGGCGCACAGGGCCGTCGTCGTGAGCGTGTCGGTGGGTGTGCGAGTGGAGCAGTTGGGCGGGAAACACACGGCACCCCTCGCAGGAAGAGTGCAGCAACAAACAATTAAAGAGGGAAGAGTAGAAAAGAAAAAATCACTGCCACAGTGATTGCCCCGAAAGCAAAGAGAGAAGTTATGGAAGGAAAAAAAGATTAGTAAACAAAAGAAAAAGAAAAAATTAAAGAAAATAAACCATTAAAAAATGAAAAAAAACTCACAACACCCCGAAGGAAGCAAAAAACAAGGAAAATAAACACATAAAAAACAAGTAGCAACAAAACAACAGAGAAACAGAAAGTAAAAAAAAAGTAAAAACAAAAAGAACAAAACACAAGGAGCTGCAACAAATGGCTCCAGCGTGCATGCACCAGCACACAAAAGTGCGTCCACGCAAACTGTTTTGGGCGTGTCGTGCATATGAATGTGTCTGGTACGCGTGCCAAGTGACGGATACAGGCAGCAGCAACACAGAGCACACAGCAGCGCAGCAGAAGCAAATGAATCAAAACACACAATCATTGTTTTCTATTAGTTACCACGTAATAAAACAAAAGAAGCGCACAAATCCACGTGGTTGAGTGCTGGCAATTATAGTCCGCATACACTTCTTCAGCCCAGTGTCCCGTACGCAAGGACGGCCAGAAAAAGCAGTGGCAGGGCATTCAGATGGGTGCCATGGAAGCAGGCGTCAGTTCCCACACTGTTCTCCAGCGCGTTCGTTGTGGGCGCAGAGGAAAGGGGAGCCGACATGCCTGCCGCCGTAGCATTTCCTTCGCCGGAAGCAGTGTCGGTGGCGTTGGCGGCGGTGTCCTCTTCGGTGCCTTCCGCTGCACCCCCGTCCTCGCCGGTCTGGGACAACTGAGTCGGTGGCGCAGCAGCAGTCTCTTCCCGCAGCTCCACTGGAGGTTCATGGGAGGAGTGGCCGCCGCCTTCTGTGGGCTTTGGATCTGGTGGGGATTCGGGTGCAGGAGAAGCAGCAGAGGCAGAATGTGAAGGGCCTTGAGGATCACCAGAGGGGGCGGAATCCAGTGCTCCCAAGGCCGCAGCAGAAGGATCCGTCGTGGCCGCAGCGCCAGCAACAGGGTTAGCACCAGCGCCGCCTGGAGTTGCAGGTGGAGGGGAAGGAGGGACATCCGCGGAATTCTCAGCGCCGTCCGGAAAAGATTCAGAATCCGGTCTGGAAAATGTTTCACGAGAAATTTTCTCATCTGGAGGGCTTGGAGGTCCTTCCGGAGGTTTGGCCGCAACACTTTCAACGGTGACCGCCTTCGACTTCACGTTACTCTCCCACCAACTCTTCACCGCGCTTGGAGTGGGCGATGTGACGTTGATCGTGAAGACACCGCCCTTCGCAACTCCTTTGGCGCGACTCTGTGAAGCCTCGGACGTACAGTTTCCGCCGCCCATGCCGCAAATCTCCTTCCCCACACCATTATCTTCAACCGTGCAGTTGTACCACAATGAATTCCCAGGGAGCTGCCAGCGCGCAACATTACCGTCACCCGCACACTCTGCATTCACCTGCGTTACCTGCGGCTCTTGCTCCTCCACTTCCTCCACGGCAAACACGCACGAGCAGCAGCACAGTAGTGCCAGCACCAACAGGACACAAAACACACGGCGCATTACCTTCAAAAATATCGCTGTTGAATAACGTGGATTCGATCTGCAAGAGCATGAGAAAGGAAATTAGAGAGAGACAGCAGCTACACCACGCACAGCCACCGCATGGTAATAAGCGACAGCAGCCAGAAGAAGCGCACACCAAAAAAGGAAGATGGAATCATTACAACTGCAGAACTCGCACACCGCCACGCAAAATAAAAGTTAAAAACCAAAGAAAAAAGAAAAAAAGAACACACAAAAAAAAAATGATGGGAGTCCAACAGAACTCCAGGAGAGAAATATAAAAAACCAATCGGGCAAAATTCTATTTCATATGCCAAGCATCACAAGACAACCGTGTGTGCCTCTGTATACATAATGCCTTCACCAAGAAGAGAAATAAAAAAGATCGTACAGTTCCACCAGGCCACACATCCCTCACATTTCATTGCGGCATCCGGCCTGTTCCTCCAATCCTCCTTTCGTGCAGTCCGTGGGACGCACAGCAATGAGGCCGGCACCGCGTGTGGGCCACAAAAAAGAAACACACAAAAGAGGGAAACTCGTCACTCATGAGAGTGTGCAGCAACCGACCATTAAATAAAGGAACGGCAAGGATACGTATTATTCCAGGAAAACAACAAACCCAACAGTGAAATGTAAATAATAAAAGAAAACACGCATGCAACGCGGGACACGTTCTCCGTGAGGAGCCGCAATTCCACACTCTTCGGCTCACAAGACCGTCACAACTCCACACAATCCCAGAAGAAGTAGCAACGCCCAATACACGCACACACGCACAGTGCCGTCAACAGTTAACTCGCGCAGTCTCAATTTCGCGTCGTTGTGCAGGGCAAAGCAGTCGTCGGGACAAATACCGCTCCCGGAATACTGCGCGGTGAATTCTCGTAATTGGGGTTTGTTATCGCGTCCAGAGGCATTGCGTTGAGTCAATCCGTCCGCATCACCCTCAGCAACAAATCCACTGCCCGCAACGCCATTTTCTAAAACGAGAGATTTGTGTCCGGTGGCGTTGCGCTCACTCACCTCGTCCGTGTTATCCGCAGCAACGTGTTCCCTGCCGCCACAAGTGACAGACATGATCCCGGATGCATTCAGCGCCACTAATATTTTCGGACCGTTGGCAAAGGAAGGCCTCTTCTTGGATGCATTCGGGACCATCACTTCGTTCGGATTGGCGGCAAACTCAGGCCTCGTCTCGGACGTGTTGGTCGCCGTGTTGGATGCGGGACTCGGATCGACGGTGTTGGGTCCGTCAGCCGCCGCAGACTGTCGCCAATCCTCGTGTTGACGTGACGGCTCAGCAATAACTTGCGGCGCAGTTGTCCCACCAGATTTCGTGTCATCTTTCCCTTCACGGGGTGGCGGCAACTGACGGATGCCCGTCCGGTCAGCATCGCTGCTACGTGCAGGCGGATGGATGGTTCCATCGGGGAAAATTGACGCCACCACAATTCATAAGGGCCGGCGTATTTATGTGTCGTCACATTCATCGTGAAGGCAACGGTGGCCCCTTCCTCCTTCCTTGCACAGCTGGCAGCACAGTTGCTAAATGTGTGCACCGCATTGGCCACATGGCACACAGCGCCCAGCTCACCATTCCTGCCATGCATGCGCACATCAAAGCCACTGAAAGTATAATTCTCACGCTCAGCCTCGGCACTAGCAGCAGAACAATTCTTCCACACACACACACACACACACACACGATGGCTCAGGCTGCCGTCACTCGGAGCACACGACACATCCACCGGCACAACCACCGCATCCGCATCACCAGATACATCTCCAGCACTCCCAGCAGCCGTCACGCACACGGACGAGCACCCGCCACACCAGCCACAACCGCTAGTGGACCCTCATCCATCCATAACGCGGCAACAAAATTTCCACCCATCCCGCCCTCAATGGGACACGGAGCCCAACTCAACGCACTCACACGCGGTGCTCCACACCCGCAGGAAAGGAGACTCGGGCTGCGCACTCCCTCTCCCCCATTCTCCTCATGGCCACGGAAGAAGACAACAGCCGCCACACGCAACCGCCAGCACACGCTGCAAAAAAAGCAATCAAATCCACTGCAATGTGCATCTTGTGTGTATGCCTGCAGAAACACAAAGCAAAGAAGTAGAAACAGGAAGCAGAGTATGTGGAAAGACGCAAAAAAAAAAAAAATGTACAGCGGAGGTGCGTGGCGGAAGCAACAAGAAGAAGACCGCTCAAACTCATGACTGCACTGCAGCCCAAGCAGCGGCAATTCACACAAGATTTATTGAAAACACAAAAAGCTTTCCCCTCCGTCTTACACAAACCCCATCACACAAAATAATTATAAATAAAAAGAAATCATCCATTACTGTTCCACACAATTTAAAAAGCTGCCGGCTGCCGTGTGGCCACACCAAACTGTCCGCATATATTTTGCCCGCAAAATAAAAATAAAAGATATTTAAATGTCTTTCAACCATCCGACCCTCTGTGTGTCCGCACATCGTTTATATTTCATGGGGTCATCTGCGTGTTGCTGCTCCCCTCAGCCCTCCCATCGGCGCGTGAGTGCGGCCCGCAGAGCGCAGTCACTCGTGTGTGTGGGACTGAGAGAAGCACGCAGGCATGACGGCAGTCGCGTCACTCCATCGGGAGAGTGAGCGCAGCAAAAAAAAAAATCATCGGAGGGGAGAGAAATGCTCACGAGGCCGACACCGAAGGGACTGCCGGCGCATGAAATAAACACGCAAAAACAAAAAAATCTTAAAAACACGGCGGCAGGGTGTGGCTGTGTGTGTGGCGCTGCGGGTGTCTGCCCGCCCTGGCCGCAAAGAAAAGCAAAACAAGAGGGAAGAAATGTGTGCTCCGCCCCACAGGCACTCGTCGCACGCCCACACGTCACGGCTCCCTCAGCGCGCCGTTCGTCGCGGCCCCTCCTCATGCGTGCAGCAGGCGAGGCGCACAGGGCCGTCGTCATGAGCGTGTCGGTGGGTGTGCGAGTGGAGCAGTTGGGCGGAAACACACGGCACCCCTCGCAGGAAGAGTGCAGGAAAAAACAATTAAAGAGGGAAGAGTAGAAAAGAAAAACGTCCATAGTGATTGCCCCAAAAGCAAAAGAAAGAAGGAAGGGAGTAAAAAATTAAAACAACAAAACAGAAAAGAACGAAAACATGAAAAAAAAACGCAAAAAAAGTTTAAAATTACGCACACAAAATAAAAGGAAACAAAACAAGAAAAGGTAGCAAACAGGAAAATGAATTTAAAATACGCAAAAAGTGAGGAAAATTATTTGAAGGGCAAAAATTAGTTCTTGGACGCATTTCGGTGCTGGGGAGGTCGCAATTGTCCCACGCGGCAGCCAGTCACGCCTCACTGTGCCGCAAACCCCCAAAGTCCCAACAGAAGAAGCAGCGATGGCAGCTGCAGCAGTCCGCCCCCACTTACAGTGCACGCATCGGTGTTATTCCCCTGCGACAAGTTTACAAGGCTGCTGCTGAGTGCCGTGGCATTTACTTCCCCGGCATGTGGATGGATTCCCTCCTCTCCCTGCCCATCCGTTCCTTCCGCCGTCTCCCCATCCTCACCAGAGCTCACGCTCTCCTCAGGAGTTTGGGGTGATCCATCTCCCTGAACCGTGTCTCCACCCACCGTCACCACCGCTGGGTCGGCGTCAGACGAGGGAGTGCCATCCACATTTTTGTTCCCACTGGGAGATGTTCCCGACGCTGACTGGTTTTCGGACTCTTTGGCTGCTGGGGAAGTCGTAGCAGTAGGTAGCCCTGACACGAATAAACCGCCACTGCCCGCATTTTCACTTTTCCCCAACGGATCCTGTTCAGTCTGCTGTTGCTCGCCAAGAATAGACAGAGTTTCGGTTTCCAGCGTAGCTGGTTCAGTTACCTCTGGTGGAGTAACCTTCACTTTTTTTGCTTCTCTTGCTTTTGGAATAGAAAGTTTTGCGTTAAGCGCAGTAATCTCCGCTTCATCCAACGGGCGGTTGTAAAGCAATACGTTCGACACAGTCACAGACACGCCTTTTTGGCCCTCTGTGTTCCCTGCATTGACTCCATCCCCTCCAATGTAGAAGTGGGATATCTTTTTAGAATTCGTATTCTCCAATTCACATTGCGCATTCCACACACGCCTACCATCGACGTACGCAGAGCCCTGGTTGCCGTTCTGTAGCACAATGGCCAATTGGTGTGTAGTATCCGTCTCTGAATGGCTGCTGTGCTCCTTGTTCTGTCCGCCACCACACAATAATATCCACTTCTTCTCTTTTTTGTTGTACGACAGTCCCAGAAGTACTGGATTCTCTGCGCCACTCATCTTCACACCCATCAATGGAATAGAACCCTCCTTCGGCGCCTCGTGGACGGACACCGTCGCCACAAGAGTGAATTTGTAGTTCGCAAAGTGGTACAGCTGATTCTCCCCCTGACTGCCAACGGGCCACTCCACCCACGCTCCATGGAATTTCACTCCATCGGAAGACTCTGCTTTCTCTGCTACCGCCCCTTCTTCCGCTCCCTTATTCACTGTGGCGTTCACCCCGAGGTACTCGTCCTTCCACGTGCCATTAGAGAAGTTGCCGGATAAAAAGCCAACCAGCCCATCCGTGACCTTACCATCGCTGCAGGCAGTGGCAGTTGAGGCATCCTTCGCAGTACTTGAAATGGGGCACAGCTTGGAGACACTTCCGTCCACATTCTTCCAGGTCGCCAGCACCTCCTTCACCCGCTTCAGCTGCGCAGTCAGACGCACAGACCAAAGACTGTTTGATGGCTTTCCATCGTCCTTCTTCTTCTCGTACAGTGCAATCAACTCCTCCTTATTATTATCACCAGTTCCACTTCCAGCACTTTTGTACAACAGGGAGCTGGCGGCAGCATCATCGTCCTTCTCGGACACCGACCCAATATCAACAATGTGCGTGTTGTCCGTCAGCCAAAGATGGAGTACGCCCTTTTCTTTTTCTTTGGCATACACCGGCAGAGTAACGAGCATCACGTCCCTGTTCTCAATCGTCGCTGTGCTGAAACCGCTCCCAACGGCCTTCCCTTCTCCCTTGTGTTTGTTGCCCCACACGCGGGAGAGTGTCCCGAGGGCCTCCGTCCACGAATTCCCCCTGTCACCGGACTCGTACACCCTGCGGCGGTCATCATCACACGCAGTCATCATCATGAGTTTTCCCTTCCACTCCACGACGGAGGGATCACTGCAGCCATCGGCAGACATCCCCTTCGACAGCTTACAAGTCACAATGTTCCTCGAAGTATCCAAAGTGTACATGAGCAGTGAGAAATTCTTTCCACCCGCCGCTTCCAATGGGAACAAAAACGTACCGTCATTCATCTTAACACCCGATCCACCACCTGCAATCAACCGTGTCATGGAATCGTGTTCGCCCTCAGATAAAGTGCCGGCCGGTAGCTGGTTCACATTCCATTGGATTTTTTTTTTCCTGTCATCTCCCTCAGCACCGACTGTCCCTTTCACCAGCAATAGCCCCCAGTCATCGGTACCACCAGCATTCCGGCTGTATTTCCCAACAAGCATGTAAATATCACTTTCATCTACAACCGTTGTTGGTCGGCTCACATCTACTCTCTTCTTCCCCTCTGTGGAAGTCACTTCCTCCAGAACCTGTGTGTTCTTGGCATTCTTCAGCACTTCCTCCGGTTCCTTACCGTCTTCTATGGTGAGTAGTTGGGATGCAATGCCAGTAAAGACACTGCTTGCATCCTTCTTGCAGTGCGCCTCGGCAACGGCAAACACATCACTCCCCACTTTCAAAAGGCTGGGAACACTCAACGAGTCCACAGTTACACCTTCATCCTCACTCTTTATGTCCTCCCATTCAAACTTTGGAACTGTTGACTCTTGCACCTCCGCACTTGCAGCTCCACCACTGCCGCAGCACATCATCACGAAGAGTAGCAGCACCGCGGAAGTAAACACACGCCGGGACATGTTGGGCCTCGGCGGCTCACTCTCTCTTCCTTCCCTCCTCCTCCCGCTGGATCCGGTCACGCGGCGACGGTTGTGTGTGCGGGGTGCCATCACTGCAGCAACACGTGAGAGCATATAAATATGTGTGTGTGGGCGATGTGTGTGCTGTTGGTCCTTTCAGTGCCTTCGAATTTCACAGTAGCGTTAAGCGATTGTTTGCTTTCTTCTTAAGAGAGTGATTGAGAAATGAAGAAAACAGGCTAATAAAAAGGGGTGAAAGAATAAGCACCGCCATCCACAGTGAGTGGCACCATCATCCCGCCGCAGTCACTCCCCACAACAACAACTCACGCACACAGACACACGGAACGAGACGGAAGAACAGTGCGCCGGGAACACACGGCGACTGCCACCAGCAGCAGCAGGAGTCACGGCGGGTGCGTTGTTCGTCACGCGTCAGCACACACCGAGCAACACCCACACAAAAAACAGCCAGCAGGATGCAAAAGAACACAGCCGCCCTCCGCAAAGTCCACGCGCTGCCGCCAGTCATTTTACTGTTGTCCAGTCCAGCGCACCCGCTTCTCTGTCCGTGCACAGCCGCACATCACCCCGCACAGGCGAAGAATCCCACATCGGCCGATGAGCAGCGTCGGAGACACTTTGGCACGTGCAGCTGCTGGGCGGGAAGCAATCCGTGCTTGTACCATGCACCCCCCAACAACACTCACTGGATGCGCGCCGCCAACATCACACCCGCAACACGTCGAAAAGACATACCGCAGTCTCCCGATCTCCCTCCTCACGAGGGCCGCCGCAGCCAGACATTGTGCATGTGTGCGGCATAGCATATCTGTGTGGGATTGTGTGTTTGTCAGCGCCTACACTTGCAGAGCAGCTGTGGGCCACAAGAGAGTCCAAAGAAAAGCAATGACAGAGAGGGAAGCGAATCGCACACACGCAAACTACTCATATCATCACGGACGCAGCCCGAAGAATGAGTAAACCCAACCACAACACAAGTAAAACAAAAAGGCCGAAGCGTGGGACGACCAGCGCACACACTCTCATTACTCCCGTAAAGCAAAACACACACAGAGGGAGAGAGAGAGGTCGCCCACTCAATGCAATAAAAACAAAACAGAAACAGTTACGGTGCTCCGCCCATGCAGCCAGGCAGGACGGCAGCGGTGCGTGTCGTGCAAAAGAGAGCACCAACGGGCCTGCATGGGTGTGCATGCATATATACAGTGGGCACATTATTGTGTGTGCCTCGTGGGGTGAGGTGAGGGCGAGAGTCCATGCGAGGGGACACACACACAGAGAGAGAAGGACGAGTGTGTGTGCGGGCGGTGCACGGCTCTCTCTCCCTCACTCTCACGCGGCCACCACCGCAGCAGCCGCACACGCAACAAGAAGAAGCAAAAGAGGGGAGGTGGTGTGGGAGACCGCGGTGCTGCCGTCACTGTCGCCCGTTGAAGCTGTGGCACCCTTCATGGCCGTGGCTTTGACTGGGGTTTCCTTCGTATTGCCATGCTTATTTTGACTGTTTTTTGTGTCGTTTGTTCCTGCACCATCAGCAGTTGGATCATCACTTGTTATCCCTTCTTCAGTGCCACTGTTAGCGTCGTTACTCTCAAAAACGCTTTTAGTTGAAGATGTTGCTTGTGCTGGTTCGCCACGACCGTTAAATGTTGCATCCCGCTGGTTGGCAGTGGCGGAGGTGCTGGCTGGTTTTCGTGGATTGTTGTTTGACTCCTTGCTCTCGTGAACACCTTGTGAACGTTGCACCAACACGACATCTTGAGGACCGGGCTGTTCGCTTTCTTGTGCCGGGTCAATATCTTCCGATTGTTTTTCATCCTTTTTCCGCGCCGGTGCTGGTGTGTTTCCTTGTTCTGATGGTGTTACTGCCGGTGTTACTGTTGCTGCCGACGCTGCTGGGACTGGTGAATCTTCTGGTGATGGCGCTGCCTTTGGCGGCTGTCCTTGCGTCGTTGGTAGTACTGGCGTTGCTGGTGATTGTGTTGTTGGGATTCCTTCTGCTGCTGCTGGCCCTTTTTCGTGCTTTGATTGTGGTGATGATGATGCTTCCTCTTTTGTTGGATCATTGGGTATTTCTGTCTCTGCTGGATCTACTGTTTCCTCTTCCCGTTCTTCCTACTCAAGATCATCAACAACAACAACGTTTTTTTCTACTCTTATCAGCGCGTCTAGCTATACAATGCCACCTGAGTGCCGAAGAGGTGGTCGAGCAACGAAAAAAGTTTCCTGCTATGAAGCAACTGCCATTGAGAGAACTTTCCGAGGCGAAGGTCCTGTTCAATGCCCAGCCGTTGACGCACAGCCAAGGTGCCTGGACATTCTAGAAGCAGATGGTGCAAGGTTTCCTGCTGGTCAATTGGCGTGCTTGTGGAAGCTGGCTGATCCTGCGGCAGCAGAGATCGCCTCCTGGCACTGCTGTTTCGATGTTGTGTGGCGTCTGGGTTGTGTGCGCAGCGATTTCTGTGCTGTGCGGTGCTTCTCCGTGTGGGGAAAACCATGTCACAGAAATCACATTTGAGCTCGGGAAGAGGTGGGGGATGTTCCGGATGAAATGACCGACAGTGACTGACGAGACCCGAGAATCCCGTCAATGTAGAATCACAGTGCGGACATTTCTCCTTCCGACGGCGTGTGACGGTCCGTCTCCTTACTGGAGAGACGTCTTCCTCCCTCGCCGACGGGGGAACAGTGTCCGTCCCCGGTGCAGTTGGATCGTTGTTAGAGCGCATATATGCAGACTGTTCCGGTGAGATGTTGCAGAAACGGCATTGGTTCGTGCAATCTCTCACGGCCCAGTATAGTCGGCCCCAGAGCTCAGATTCCCCGCACCTTGCCCCTGCGAGGTGAACCAGTTCCTGACGGTGTAGAACTTCCTGAGTGATCAGGTCCTTACCGCTGAGATCGGATGGCCTTGTGCCGCAAAGCAGGTAGCGATGAGTGTCTTGACGAATGGTACTACGCCACTTGTTGGTGAGCTGGGTAGTAAAACATGTCAGCAGATCCGTATGCCATAAAGGTGCGATTCCTTGCTCCGTGTATTGTCCACTTTCCATAGTCTGCGTCGCATACTGATCTGCAGGCTCGTTAGCATGTACTCCGCAATGTCCGTGACAAAACTGCAGGTGCACGGACCAGCCAGCACGCGTCAGTGACAAGAGACGCTGCCAGAGCCGATCCTCCGTCCAGTCTGTCTGACTGAGCGGGCCCTTGTTTAGAGCCGCTAGAAGAGACTGACTGTCCGTAACCACAAGCAGGGTTTTACGCCTGTGTCGGATACGAGGAATCATCAGCTTCTCTAGGGCTAGAAGCAGCGCACGGGATTCCGTCCTGTAGCTGCATGGGCGTGCACCGCAGTTTATGCTGGCCTTCTCTATTATCTCCGATGAATTGAGGGATGAAAGCAGTATGCCAACCCCTGCTGACTTGGGAACGTCGACACCGCCATCGGTCGCAAGTATCCACGATCGATGGCTGTGCAGCGCCAGAGCCTCTTCGCTGACTCTGCGCTTTTCCCTTATCAGCTCCTCTTCGTCAGTTATTGAGTGGTCTATCGGAAGTTCCACACCGATGGTGGCCCGGTGAGCGGAGGCCGCACACCAGGGAGGAATGGAGCTGCGAAAGAACCGCTCTTCGCGTGGTGAGCTCTCGGTGATGCCATAGTCCTTTGTGTATGCGTCTACGAAGGCATATAGCTCGTCCCGAGATAATGGCGAGATGCGGAAACCGGCGCGAGGTGGTGGCTCAGGCGGGGGTCTCCGCATCCAGTCCATCTGACATGCGCGTGTGTTCTCAAATATTGAGAGCCGCGCGCGTAGGCAAAGGACGTGGAGCGGCGGCATATTAGCCTCCAGCAGTGCGGATTCCGGGTCGACAGTGCTCGGAACTCCGCTGACAATGCGTGCTAGGGTTGCGTACGTCTTCTGCGTCTCATTCTTCGCTGAATCCGTCGCTACTGCCCATATGAGCTCGCTGCCATAGCGTAATTTGGAAGCACCGTATCCAATGACGAACGTGCGTAGGTCATGTGGAGATGGTCCCGCCTCTTTGTGCGCTATGCAGCGTAGCTGCGATATCCGTTGCGAAGTGGCCGCCACATTTAGCGTCAGTCGTGGATCGAGATCCATGCCGAGAAGCTTCGTAGTTCGCGATGCCCCCATGGTCATGACTGGGATTTGACATCCAGCCACTACCAGGGGCCACCTTCCTTCACGATCATAATCTGACTCCGTGTGCGTGGAGAGTGTGAACCAGGCAGCTTCACACTTTGACGGGTTAATGGCCAGGCCATTTTCCTGACTCCACGCATGCAGCTTTTTAAGAACCATGTTGGCAGTGGGAATGGCGTCTTCCCGGGACTGCCCCTTAACGATAATAGAGAGGTCGTCCGCATACATGTCTGCTGTGACACCCGCAAAGCTGTTCAGCAGATTGAGAAGTGGGTGTACGTAAAGGGAGAACAAATACGGTCCCAGCACGGACCCCTGAGGAACTCCTCGCAGCATGGGACGCCGATCGCCGTGTCTGTGGCCAACTCGTGTCTTCGCGTAGCGACCACATAGAAAGTTTCTAAGCCACCTTCTACAATCCACCCCCGGAATATTAGCCAGCAAGCGACTGAGGACTCGATGATCTATGGAGTCAAAAGCCTTGCTGAAATCAACCAACACCAGCAGGGCCCGATGGGGTCTGTAGTGGAGTTGATTGCCAATACCGCTCTTCTTGGGAAGGTTCACTTGGAAATAGTGATTTCTATTATGCTCCACTTCGTGTATCAGGTGTGCCAGCTGCATCGTCGTGGTACGCATACTACGATATGCATACTGGTGGGGGTGCGGCGTCCACACCCAAAGCAATCTCTTCAGTACCATTTTCTCAGCAACTCTACTCACAATGGAGGTAAGGCTGATGGGTCGATATGACTCAAGCAGTTCCGGCGACTTACCGGGTTTGGAGAGTGGAACGATGGTAGCGCGTTTCCACTCAACCGGGATCGTACCGGTCGTCCAACTGTGGTTAATGCAACGAAGAAGGAATCGAAGGCCCTTTGACGAAATGTCGCAGTGCCTCACTGTAGACTTCATCCGGTCCGG